ATAATTATAAATTATTCAATCAAACGATTAATGGATATACAATATCAAAACACACCAAGTTTTTTTTTTGATAATTTCCATGTTTCCAGGTTGCTGTCTAAACGCTGCTAAAATGGTCAAGGCTCAGGTGACTTTCTGTTTGAGTAAATCACGGCAAATCTTATCCACAAGTTTCATCAAATGATTAATGTAAAATTCAAGTGCTACTATTTACACATTAAACCACCGATTGCGCACCATTTTTCCATTTTCTTGATTTACGAAACATTTAAGGTAATTAAATTAACCCCAAGGTTAGTCGACTAGAGAGGGGGATGAGTTAAGTTCAAATACCTTGAATTCAAAACTTGATAATTTTTTTAGAGTTAGACCATGAGGGCAAGAGTGGAACCAAAAAAATACTTTAGGATAGACACAATAATAAATTTTAATTTTTTTTTATCAATGTTATAGATTTATTTATTTATTTATTTTTGACCAAGTTATTGACTTAATTTAATGTAACTGTTATTTTAGTTGTATAATTCAATGTTACATGAAGTTTACTTTTAATCAAAGGGGTACATTAAATTATGTCATCAAATTAGATTTAAATAACATTTTTTTATTTTTTTTTCAATTGACCACAGAAGTTTATAAATTCATATTTATTATAATTATGCATAAAAATTCATTAAACATAAGAAGTTAAAAAACGATTTACATGAAATGAACAAATAAAAAATAATAGTAAATTAATTAAAATTTTGTATGAGACTAATTATTATGATTTCACAATTGAATCTGATTATTATTTATCATTTAAAAAAATTACAAATCAATGATATCAATAAATATTTTTTTTATATACAAAATAATAGTAACAGTCTTTCATTTATTACCATATACCTTATTACATAATGACGCTCATTTATATATAATAACAAAATAATTCTATAATTTGGAAATATGACTGCAATATGTCTAATAATTATTCAGGCATGTCTGTGTCTAAAAATTTAAGAATAATAGTAATTGCATCTAATTCAAACTTTAATTTTATATATTAACTAAAAAAAATTCAAAATTTAATTAGTAGGAACTCAATAGTTTGTGACCATTGGATGGATAATAGACGCTATTAAATGTAGGGACTCACTATTAGATTTAATATCATAATATATTAGTTCCAATAACATTATTTAAAAATTAATTATTATTTAAGTAATCGTCTATCCTAATTGATATCACAATAATATAATAATAAGGTGGACATAATAAAATATATCTAAATTTTATTTTAAAAAGTATATATATAATATACAAAAAAATTGAGGGTGGACACAATTAAATATATCTAAATTTTATTTTAAACAATATATATCTAATGTCGAAAAAAAAATTGAGGGGGCACATGCCCACTCTGGTCCAAGGGTGGCTCCGCCCCTACATGAGGGATTTATTCCTCATAAATTTTTTTGTTTTGACGTAAATAATATGTCTTTGATCAAATTGGAGAGAATCTGAAATTTTATCATGCATGTAGAAATACAATTATCATGTTTGGCCACGTTGTTGAAAGATGGTGAGGCTTGGCTATTTGCTTGGTGCATGTAACCTTCGGTTGTTTGGTCGGGTAGGAAGTGGCTAAAAAACCATCCAAAACACATGCAAGAGACACGCAAGCATGAGATTTGACTCAAATGTAACAAATGCCCATGAGAACTCATTAGGGTAACTCGAACGATAGTCGCGGAGACACGGCTCAAATGTGACAAATGCCCTTGAGAACTCACAAGTTTAGCTTGGATGGTAAGTGACAAGCCCAGATTCTGTTGGCTCAGGCCGAGTTAGTGAGGTGATCCTAAATTAGTTACAAGGCGGGTCAAGTCCAATTCATCAATTCAACCCAATCTAAGGTCTAAGAATTTCAAGAAGATTAGAGCATGTAGAAAGTAATCATTGGGGTGCCCACTGTTGAAGATCTAAGCAATCTTTAATTATACTTATTTTTTGTAGCTATCATCTCTGAAGGATTAGTGTATTTACCCCCTCACGTCACGGCCTCAATTAAGACATTGTGCCTATAAATTGTAAGCTCTTTCTACATGAGAGGGCATCCCCCTACAAACCCCTCACTTTGCTATTTCTTTCTCCTAGCTACCATACCTCTCCCGAAGCTAAACTTTGCTCTCTCTCTTACTTTACTTTATTAATAAAAAAATTTTGGCCATCGTTGTCGTTTTCAGGAGTAGAGTAAGTCACCCTGACCTAACCACTATATACTTTTGTGTTGACCCAATATTTACCTTTTTGTCATTGTTTTATTAATTGTTTCATTAATTCCCTTGTGTTACTCCCTTAGCTTTTGACTCAGCGTTGGCATGGGGCAACCTCGCCCAAAAGTGCTCATGCCTTAGTCAAATTTGGTTTCGCTTGAGGAAGCAAAACCTTGGTGCAAAAGATGCTTCCTAAAAGACTTGGATTTATATCTTGTTGGGATAAAATGGTTTGGCAATGAATCCAATAGTATGCAACAACTATGCCTCAGGCTTAGGTTTTTATGACTCCTCGGTTTAGAGTATGTCCAGTGTTGTCAGTAGGATTTTGCTTCATAATGCTATTATAGAGGGGGTGCTCCGCGAAGGGGTGCCAGACCAGCTTCCCCAGGCCTTTATGCCCCTAAGCTTGCTACATGGAAATAAAGCACGGCCCCAACAAATGCTTACCATGGGTGGAGGTAAAGCATTCCAAAGCTTGTGACACGAAATGCAAGGCCGATGATCAAAGAGAACCCATCGTTGGTGGAAGCCTTACGCATGGCTAAGGGAGGCAACACATGCATAAGCATGTTGGACATGACTAGTGGGTGAATTGAAGACTCGTGTATGGCTGAGTGAGACAACTCATGCATGGGCAAGATTGGGTGCAATCTGTGGGTGCTTGAAGCTCCATGCATGGTTAGGCATAGCAGCTAATGCATGGGCATGTGAGCACAAGCAAGCATATAAGCAAAGGCTAGCTGGTTGGCTCGATTTGTGGGACATTGCTAGCTTGAAAGACCAATTCATGGGCTGGACATGATTAGGCACAAAGACAAGGCTAATCAGGTGCTATGGGCTCACAAGGAAAGCAGATGCACAGCGTGTGAGGTGGCTCGAAATGATTGTAGCATGTGCCTTGTAGATGGTAGTAATTTCAGACGATTGCTAGCATGTGCATGGCATGCAGGGGCGATTCTGTGCAGAATGCTAGCATGTGCATAACATGAGGGTTGCGGACATATGCACTCAGCATGCACAGTAGTTGATGGTAGTTGTTGGTTGAGTCAACCAACAGTTGCAATTGCTCCTTGCCATAACTAGCAGATGTGGGAGTGGCAGAGGATCTAAACCATCATCAGCAGATTATGGGGTGTCTTTGTGGGCGAATTTGGCATAGCTTTGCAGTTACTTAGGCGGTTGGGCTTGTAAACGCCACCTTATGCTATAAATAGACATGTTAGGGTCTATAGCGCAGAAGAAAAGAGTTGGACACGTTTTTGTAAGTAGATCCTAACTGAATATTCTTTTAGGCTTTATTGAGAAAGAAAAAATTGGGTCATTGGCCTGTAAAGCTTGTGTGTGCTGTGTTTGCTTCATGTGCCTATATTCTTTTCATTGTGTGCATTCTGTGAGCGACTGTGTGCATTGACTGAGACTGAGTGTAGGATCTCAATGCCATCCATAAATAAAAATTTGAGTGAGAAATTGACCCCGTAACACTTTAGATTATTCACTCAACTGTTGATCTTACATAAATCTATTTTGTGCATCATCAATAACGATAAAACCTCGGTCTTTACTTTCCTAAGTTACTAAGTTTTCTTTTCATAAGAGATGCTCAAATTAATTTGGTGTGTATAATTTTTGAGTAATTGTGTGCATGTCAAGTTTCCCTATCACCTGCGAGTTTAAAAATACGTGTCGAAAACAAATGCCTCTTTTCGAAGGACATATCTTCCAAACTCTTTTTGAACAGCCAGTATCATTCATTTTGACCTCATATTGATGGCATGATTTGCGGCACCTACTGCTTTAAAAATCATCATTATTGTTTCATGTGGTTAGTTATCTAGTTGTTGCTTTATGTGCAGGTTTAAAATTACTAGAACAACACTTTGGGTCCCAATGTGGACTTTAGTTACTTAGCTATCTAGGTAGGCTAGCTCCTGGGGTACTCCCAGGGGGTGTAATTTTGGGTGGTGAACCCAAATTTAATCCGAATCTAGCTTGAAAAAAAAATAGAGTTTGAATTAATATTTTTAATATTTAGATTGCACTGGGCAAAAAAATATTGATTTAAATTAAATTTGGATAGTATCCAGGTTGAGGCTGAGGATTATTGGACTCAATCTAAATATAAAAATTGGACTCAACTCGAATATATATATATAACTTATGAGTTAAAATATTAAGGATAGTTCAGACTTACATTAAACATTTGATTGTTATGTCTATGTTAAACATTAATTTTTATGTTTTAAATACTATAATTTTTATATTAAACATTTGATTAAAGTTGTTGGTTGTTACTTTATGTGAATACTATACAATATGTATCAAATTTAGAATAACATGTTGATTTCGAGCTTGAATGAACTCAACTCAAATTCTAATTCGAAATCAGTTCAAAATATATAATTCGAACGCAACTCAAATTTTAACCCAAAATTTGTTCGAATTATATAATTCAATAAATTCAACCCAAGCCCGCCCGATTTAAACTTGAATAATACTCGAATTGGTTACTTCGAACAAAAGCTGAATTAGGATTAAAAATTATACGCTTAATATTATATTAGGGTCGACCCACTTGCCGGGACTTAAGCAGTTGAATTTCCAAGTCTTAAAAAATTGTACCCGACGAAGCAATGGCATTGCCGGAAATTTAGTGAATTAATGAGGGTGCCAAGGGTCATAAAAAATCAACAAACGAGCCTACTTAAAGGATTCTATCATGAACACACATTACCTCTGCCTCTAAACTCCAACAACCAAACTCCACTAGAATTTGAACTGCTCTCCAAGAATTTCAAAACTTCCATGAAGACCCAACGTCCTCTCTCTCTCCTCTCCATCCTCTTCTCAGCCTTCCTCCTCCACTTCCACCCTACGCCCACTGCTGGATACTACTTCTACGACACATCAGCCACAACCACCGACACCGCCACCGCCGGCGGTGACACCAATTTCATTCGTACAAGCTGTGAAATAACCCTATACCCAGACCTCTGCTACACCTCTCTCTCCGGCTACGCCAACGCCGTTCAACAAGACCCAGCTCGGCTTGCCCGCATAGCTATATCCGTCAGCCTCTCCAAAGCCAAGCACATGGCCGCCTACGTCTCCAACCTCTCCCGCAAAGCCGACTATGGAGCTCCACCACGAGCTGCTGCCGCACTTCACGACTGTTTCACAGTCTTCGGAGATGCCGTGGACCAGATTCGCGGCTCGCTCAAGCAGATGCGGCGGCTTGGTGGGTCTGGCGATTCACTGAGGTTTCAGATGAGCAATGTTCAGACGTGGATGAGTGCAGCTTTGACGAATGAAGACACATGTACTGATGGCTTTGAGGATGTCCCCGATGGGCCCTTGAAATCAGATGTCTTAGATGGGGTTGCGAAGGTGGAAGAGGTGACTAGCAATGCACTTGCTCTGGTTAACAGTTACGTTGCCAAGGTGACGACTCCTTGATGAGCGATTACAGGCCGTTAGATTATGAGATAAAAATAGGGTACGTAGGTTAATGTTTGTGCTGTAAACGATAAGGTAGGTTAAAGTTTGCTGTATAAAAGATAAGGGTCAAGGTGTTTTTAGTTCTTCAATAACTGTATATGTTTTTTGGGAGTTTCCGACTCTGGTTGATTTTTCGTTTGTTTGTTTGTGTTGTATTATTGTGCTCGTTCTTGCTTTCAGATGAAAGAAAAAGAACCCTAAAGAAGGGTGGTAACCAGCCTATTCACTGAAAAACTTGGATACTTGATTTTGACTCGGCGGAGATAACTCTTCTTTTGATCATGGCTCCGGATATATTTGTATAGTCGGGTTTGTTTAAGTTTCGTTTAATAGATTTATGTTATATTTAGTATGATCGGTGTGAGTGTATTTATTTGAGAGGCATAACAAATCTATTATTTTATCATCCGAATCTACTAAGATTAAACCTGAACTTATAAATGTTTGATCAATTTTTTATTGGATTTTCAAATCATACCAAAAATTACCTAACCTTAGTTAAAATTGGGGCCTAAGTTTTTTTCAAGGGGCCCCAAATATTTGTATTTATTCAGGGGTCTTAGGTGGCACCTTAATTGCCTATGCATAAGGCCGGCCTTGAATGGCACATATTATTAGGGCTGGAAATAGTCATGCTGACTGTGTTGGATTCATACCTTTTGATACATAGTAAATTTTGATGGAGTTGTGTCCACTCATTTATGTCCATTAGTTTACAACCTCAACCTCCTAAGGTTAAATCAAAACATGGTAATTCTATGTTTCAAAGGCCATATTGAGAATTACCAAGTTCATGCGTGGATATATTTACGGGTAAAAGGACGAATCCAACATATATATCAGCCAAGGAAAAAAAAAAGAAAAAAGAAAAAACTATATGCATAGGGTAGTCTTCAAAAAAATTTCTTTTACACATAGTCAATGGGGGGTGGTTAGGGGACGGGCACGTATAGTTTAGGAATTTTGTAGTTAATATTTACATAATACACGAAAATTTTCAAGTCTTTGTAGTTAATATTTACATAATACACGAGATTTTTCAAGTCTTTGAGTGGGCAATTTCCCCTTCCCGGCCCCCTACTTTATGTGGGTCACTGTATATAAGAGTGGGCATTTTCATATTGAACAATGCTAGACTAATAACCAATAAATCAACCCTCCTATTGCTGGATTATACTTATGGTACAACCACTATTTTTCCTAATGCCAGTAAACTAGCTGGCACCATGAGCTCCTTATTTCTCATGTTTCCTTTTCGAGATGACAGACTGCAATCAGTTTACTAATATTCAATGTTCTGGATGTTAGGGATGAGAAGTGTGAATGGATCAACTGGTACAACCACAGTTTTATTATATGATTTTTATCTGTATCTATTAGCAATTCGAATTTCACATTTTATAAAAGTATAATAACGATTGAAATTAATTTAATATTTATCTAACTTTATTTAATGGTGTAAAATTTATTCTAAAAAAATATTCGCCCAAAAATATCATTTTTTTTATACGGTCGTCAATGTCAGACAATTCAATCAACTAATTGCTCAATCCTATAAAGTTTTACTTGCATTCATTATAAAGCTAAAACTCAAACCTATCCATTATTACCGATCCTCAAACCAATTTAGTGTAATCTTCATGATGATGTGTTTTTCTTTTCATTATCATGTGTATGAAATGGAGACAGATATCATTGAGGGACAGTCAGCTTTAGAGATCCTGTTTATAACAATGATGTGCATTTGAGTGTTTTTATATGTAAAATAGTATGTTGCTGTAAAAATTATATATTTGTAGGATCGGTTATAACTTTTTTTGTTATAACTAAGACCCCAAAAACTTATGTGAAAAAAAATTGAGGGCGAACAAGTGCCCACTCTAGTCTAATGTGGCTCTGCCACCGAATGGAATTGTGTTGTGTCATACTCAGGTACTATGATTTTAAATTTATATCGTGTTCATGTAATAATTATGTTAACATAGAAGCAATTTAATGTCCGGAAATTTCATACAACACTAGAGTGAAAAAGCGAAATAAAAAAAAAACTTACTTTTTTTTTTTTCAAAATGCTCCTCTAAATTTGTACAAACTAATTATTGGAATGGAGTTTAGTTAGCATTATACATTTGAAAAGTGAACCAATGTGGACATCATGTAATATGCATTGTATAACACCAGATCATGTAGATCACACATATTGCTAGTCGTCCTAAACTCTCTATCTACAAAGGAAGTGAAGTTGTTTTGTGTTTTTTTTTTTTTTTGGGGGGGGGGGGAGTTTTTCTTTTTCTTTTCTTTTTTTTTTAATTTGTAGGCAATAAGTTTTGAATCATTGACTCCTTGCTTCTCCTAACAAATCATATCAACATTAAATAAACAACGCTATTACAACAGAAAATTTGATCTTATTCGCAGCACAATTGATAGATAATTTTATTTTAGTTAGTTAATTATGTGATTTATCGGACCAAAATAAAATAAGTAATTTGGCTCGAGAGTAATTAGATTTTGCAGCACAAACTGAAGTATGAAGCTTAATCTTATGATGCCAAGAATTTAATTATTTGACGACAATGATGGGAGGGAGGGAGAGAGAGAGAGAGAGAGATTGGGCATGCACGTGAAATGGGAAGAGACAGTTTGGCCAGAAAGGGAGTGATAGAGAGATACTTCTATTCATCGAAAGGTTCGCTTTGGGGTTCACGGGTTGGCCTTTGTCTAGTTCTTTCAATGGGGGGTCAGTCCACACTACTAAACATGCGTGCAGTTTCGCTGTTAATCGACTTGGATCTTTTGAGTTTTTTGGTATATTTGTTAATCGGCTTGAACCTTCCGAATTTTAGTGTATTCAGATTCGACTTGAGTTGAATAAGAGCTCGAGCTTGGTTAGGGTGATTGAACTTTTATCATAGGGGCATTCTGATTTGTTTTAGTCTTTGTCATCTGATTGTAATACATTAATACTGCCAAACCACGACTAGGATGTTGGCTTCATTTGACAACAGCACAGAAGATGTCCAAAACTTTGCAAAGTGATGCATCACGTGGCAGATCAAGACCATTGAAAATTTTGAGCGACCATGTTAGAAAATTTTAAAAGACCCTAGTTTAAAAATTCTAAAGCTTTCAATAGGTCTTTTTTTGACTTATAAATGACGTTTAAGGCACCTTTTAAATACTTTTTTATTTTATTCTTCTGTTTGAGATATTTTTGTAATATTACTTATATGCTTGATTTTTCTAGTAATTTAAGACTGTTAGTGTTTCGTATTTATATTATGTTGAGAAACTAATTTAGCAATTTGGTTTTATTTTGAATAAACGTAAAGACGAATTCTTTTTTCTTCCCAATTGATTTGTTATTCTTCATGAATCAACAAAGCTTTTGACGATTTTAATATGATACTTTTGTGATAATCAACGGATTATAATTTTTATTGTTTAATCACCTTTCTTTATACACGCTATCCTACATCACATAGGGGTCCAAATTTGAGGAAGATGGGTTAAGCTTGGACCAGTGCTGCTAACAAATTTCAGGCTAATTAGTTGGGCCTGTGTTTGCAATTTTTCTGCCTATTGGGTTGAGTTTGGGCTCTCAATACACCCAACAACTACACCTCCAGAACTTATTACTGTTTGATATAAACAAACGGAAAAATAGCACTCAAATCATAATCAAACCAAGCCTTCACGAGAGTTTTCGTGGTAGTACACAATAAAAATTTGGTAAGTTTTCATATTGAACAGATTGCAGTCTAAGAGTTTGTTATATAAAAGGTATCTGTCTAATGCCGCAGGGGTGGAGGGAGGCATGGCCAGGGTGGCCAAGTGCCCCCCTAAAAAAAAACCAAATTATTAATTAGGTATATATATTATATATTTGTATAATATATTATTGGTGCTCACTCAAAACCCAAGATATAAATGTTAGACCCACATTATTTACCCAAAAAAATTAAAAAATTAAGCCTATTTAAAATAAAAAAATTTGAGTTCATCACTATCTATCCAAACTTATTAAAAAATTAAAATTTTAATCTATCACAATCCACTCAAACCTATTAAAAAAATACAATTTTTGGCCCATCATTAATTTGTGCTTTCTAAACCCTATAATTTTAAAAAAAATATAAAATAACCTCATTATGTTCAAAACATATTCAGACAAATCTAAAACGTGTCTAAAAGTAAACAATAAGTATTAATTATGTCCTTGGATCTTGTGCTGCTCTCTTTGCCGAGTTTAAATATGTTTTGAAAATAATGAGGTTATTTTATAATTTTTTAAAATTATAGGGTTATTTCGTTATTGTATAAAAATATGAGTCTTTATGTACTAAATTATAGGATCACACATATATATATATATATATATATATATATATATAAATTTTAATTATTTTTTTGTCCATGTTATGCATATCGATTTTTAATCTTTAATATTTATTGGACTTTTAAGTATTAAATATAATTTCAATACTTATGAATTTATGAACTTTTATGATCAATTAAAAAAAAATTAAACACACTAATTTGCCCACCCTAAAAAAAATTCTGGCTCCACACCATCGTGAATAGCTCTTATAATCGGGGTATTGTATGCATATTCTTTGTATTAGTCATTCTTAGTATTAATCATCTCTATTAGATTGAAACATTAGTTTAACCATCAAAAAGTGGAAGCAACTTACAAAAAAAATTGAAAACAACTAAAAGAACTTTATATTTTTCTACGCTCCGTTTGGTAGGAATGATGAAAAGTAAAAAAAATACACTTTTTATCCTTCAAAAAAGAAAAATATGAATGATACAGTTTCTTTTCTTTGTGTTTGGTTGGATGGATGAAAAATTAAAATGATTATTTTTTTTGTGAGCTTGGTAAGATGGAAAAAAATATATTTTTTATTTTAATTTTTTTTAAAATATAAATATATATTTTATCATTCTATTTATATGTGAAATTAATGTATACATAATATATGTATATATCAAAGGATATATAGACAAATAAGATATATTTCAACACAAATAATTAACTTTTCATCCACTTTCTTTTCAATTTTGGAGGGATTAATTTTGGTGAATTAGAAGGAAAGTTTATTCATCCACTTTTCTGTCCATCCTATTTTCATTCCTTACCGAACAAGATATTTTATCTATCCTTTCAACTTTTTATTCTTCTAACTTTTCATACTTCTTTTTTTTATGGTACTATTAGATTCATAATTTCCTTCATTTTTGTTTTTTGGTCCATCTGAGATGGGAGTATAACCGGGGACGCCCAACAAGTAGGGTCTGGAATAGGTTGGATTTTGATCTTGATGCAACTATGATTAGTTAGGCATGGGATAATATTTTAACCGCTTAACTGAACTGAATGTGTTATGTCATATTTTATCTTTTC